TTTTGGCCCAGAATTCATCTTAAACTTTTATTTCCTCAATTTCTCCATTTAGTTGTACATATTCTCTCACATAAGGCAGGAAAAAATCTGACTGCTTTGACTAAAATACATTTCAAACACTGACATGTAGTTAACCCATCTCCCCATATTCAGTCCCAGACTAGAGATGTCCATTTTTGAATATTTCCCTTCAAGCTAATTCCTCCAGACCCATGAGTATTTTGTTGCTCTTCTTTGAGCCTCTGTTAAATTGTCAATACCTTCCTGTTAAGATGATATTCAGTTTTCACGTGTTCACAAGAGTCTTATAAAAAGGAAATACCACCTCTTTGTTCACTAAAATGGTACCTTTTCCTTGACAGCTCAAACCATACTTTTTTGTAATTAAATCCCATTCCAGACTCATTTATTAATTTTCAATCCCTTCCAGCATCACTATCATCCACGAGTAAGTTCCTGATTTGATACCCTTTGCCCAAGAACTTGCTTTTTCCCCCTACTTGTTCCCTTCACTCTACTATCCTCAAGGAATTGTCCTGAAGCTCTATTTACTACAAAGCAAAGACAGTTTCAAAGGTTTTGCCCTATACAACAAAGCATTTCATTACATGCCTAACTTCCACCACTTTCTTAAATCCAGTTGATCTCAGCAAGTAGAGATGAGCCTAAGCACACACTTAAAAAAAGTTGGGTGTGCAAGTCGGTGCTCTGCTGAACCAAATCCTCAGTTTCTGTAATCACTTGGATAGTCTACTTTCTGTATTTGGCAAGAATTGACAGCTCAATGACTAAAGGTAACAGGATTTTAAAAACAAAGCCTCAAGAGAGTCCAAAACTGGCATCATGCTTTTGGTCCTTTCTTAAAAGAAGAACAGGAAATAAATACCTAAGTATTTATCCCTCAGTACAGTAATCATGAAGCCTATAGGTTTAAACATGCAGTAAGTAACTCTATATTCTCATTACTTCAGTACCCACTTTGAAAAATAATAATAAAAGAAAGCCTTGTGAACAAAATTGGAAAGGCTTGTGTATCTCAGCAAGATATGCAGCACATTCCCTGGTAGCTCGTTAGCCACAACCATCATTGTGCAGTTAAGAGAGAGAACAAAGCTGTCGATTTCTTAATTCCTGTCTCCTAAACACCTTTAAATGGAATGGATGTAACTCACTGTTCTGCTTAAGATGGGAGAAGGGAGAAGAAGATCTTTGGTTTGGGCCATGGGTTGGCTGTCTCCACCAGCAGCCAACCCACATTACAGCAGATGAAAACTTTACCACTAGCAACAAATGCAGTTAGCATAAAAGGAGTTTTGTGGAGAGTATTTAAAATCACTTCCCAATGACTTCCATTGTTTATACACAGAGCACTTCATGACCTGTCTCTCCTCCTTGTTTTTTGTTTGTACTTTTTGTTTTCTTTGCCTTCTCTCATTCTGCTGCCTGGCAAACACAGGCAGAGGTGAAGTAGGGACTGTAATTAGGCAGCCATATCAAGCTTCATCTGTGGGCTACCTAATTGTAAGATTCAAGTTTTGGGAGTAGTGCCATCTGAGAAAGAAATAGAGAAGAAAAACTGGAAAATTACTACTTCCTCTCAATCCATAAAGCCTTCCAAAATTCAATTAGCACGTTCTAAACTAAATCATCTGCACATGCTATGGCACCAAAATGTGTGATTTCAAATATAGACAAGAAAGTAGCTGCTCATAGATATTTATCAGAATTATAATACTCTCTGACCATTCCACTTCAACCCTTTTTATTCAAGTGGCATCTGCTGTAACCCTTTTGTACCTCAGTACTTGAGATGAACCAGGAAAACACCTATGGGCAATATAAATAAATTGTTTGTGACTGCACATGGGATCTCTTCAATACTGCTGTGAACCCCCAAGTCACCCAGAGAACACCCTTCACATGCCTAGCGCGAATACTGTTGTTTAATAATGTATACTTGACTAAGTTTGCTGTCTTCCCCACAGCAAATTTTTCTTGTGATTTTACAGTTTCCCAGACTGGAATAATATTTTCACTTTCACAGAATCACTGATGCAACCAATAGGAAAACTACCTCTGGTTCAATTTACTGTGTGATGTCTGTAAATACTGCTGGATAGTGAAGACTTATAGGGAAAAATCAGCACACACCTTTTTGCCATTTTCTCCTACAAAAGAGAGACAAAATCATAGAAACTTCTCTGCTGCCTTGTACATACAACTACACATTCGTGCCTGCTCAGCTCCTTTACCTACGGCAGCTCGGCATATCCAGCAGCTTCCAGAGCACAAACACCTGCACCCATCCCAGGTCAGATCTCCAGCTTGCACTAATGGATTTTTTCAGATAGATGGCAGTGCACAAAGTGCATCCCAGATTGATTCAGGGTCGAGATGCCATTTCAGTGCTCAGGCACTTTAACTAAGGGAACTACTGCATTAGCAAAAGCACTTTTAGAAAGATGATGGCTTAGGAGCCAATCCTGCTGCACGGTGATAGTACTGATTCCTTGGAAGGGCTGAACTGGGTACCAAGAACGTAAACATGTCAAGGAGGCATCTAGGATTTTACTTTCCATTCCTAGGAGCCACAAAGGATTTTTCTTTCAATATATTCTAATAAACATAGTTTTAAAACACAAAGCTAAAGGATGACTAATAACACAAAATCCAGAAAGATATTGGATGTTGGATACAGGAGATGATATATCTGATTTTGAAGGGTCTGTAATAGCACAGATTTAGAAACAGTCCTGCAATATGAACAGACAACTCCAAATCATTCTTAATGGGAAAAATTCTACCTAATTTTGTGCCCTCTTCATTCTAACAGACATTATTATTATGAGACCAGAGTGAAATTTTAACCATTTAACTGCATTTACCCCAGCAAATCTTTCTCACAAAAGGAAAATATTAACTAAGCAGCTGAAATAAATAGGAGTGAATCTCCCAGCACAATTAGTACTTCAGTGTCTACTACTTGGGCATTCCGACATATAGCTATCATGATGTGGAAGCATCCACCACCGTTTTGTTTTCTGTTTGCAGTAGGGGGTTGCTAGGAAACAAAATACTATTGTCTGATTTCATGATCTATTGCCTGGTTTGCCTGGTAATAAAGTCTTCTAAATCTATTACCAGATTATTTTGTATTTTACGGTGAGATTAAGACTAGCATAAAAAAACACATGCAAACAGAGAAGTGCAGGAAAAAATGCCTTAAAATTCAGGGAAAAGTATGTATATATTCCAGGCTGAGGAAGACAAACTATACTGAGGAAAAATGAACTCAGGCAATCTGGTGATATTTATATATGCACACACTCACACGTGTATCAGCGTTCCTTGACTGTTTCTATAGTTTTGCTGACTTGTCAAAGACTCTCTCACTTCCAAGGATACAAAGCGTTCTCTTACTACTGGAGAGCTACTGTACACTGCAAGTTCTGTAAATACCACATGCTGCAGAATGCCTGGTGCGGGCAAGCACACATGCCACCGTAATTTTTGTTCTTGGAATTCAGATCTAGGTTGTTTCAGTGTTTTAATTTCTTTACACTACCTTTTTTTTTTTTTAATTTTTTTTTTTTTTTTGTCTTGTACCTTTGGACATATAGAAGAGTCAGAGACAACTCCCTAATCTCCCCCTCCCTCTTCAGTTGCAATATAAATAAATAAATAATCAAACAGAGAAATAAATAAAGGCACCAGGAGGAAAAGCAATCTAAAATTGAAAGCCACAATAGCAAGTTTCACTTATTTTTGACCGCGGCAAGTCTTTGCAAAATGAGTGAAAAAAAGATTATGAGAACCAGGCAAATGTGGGTGCCTACCAATGCATTCCCACAAGAAGACAGGAGACCTCAAGTGCAAAAAACAATCAGACTTAAAAGCTGAGAGACAGATGAAGAGAGTTCAGCACAAAGTCATAGAGAAGGTTTAAAATAAAACCTGCAGAGCAGTTATTATTCTTTTATGTATATTTACAATTTCACACCATGCACAACATGCACTATTTCAAAGTCCTTTCAACTCACTTATTAACGCCTATGCATTTTATCACTCCATTTTAAATTTGAGAAAAAAAATGAATGAGGTTCATTGCAAAAAAACATCAAAGCTTGTGAGACGTTACAGCAGAACTCCCAGTGATAAGAAAAAAAAGAAGCAACAACACACAACATAGAAAATACACAGTTCATGGGAAGGACCTGAAAGCTCTCCTGCTCAGAGATGGATTTATTCAACCTCTGTAGTTTCTGATAGTTTCCTATCAGAAACTAGGAGCCCCCACCAAACCACATTTAGAATTAAAGAACAAAAGAGTAAAATGCAAGCGAGCTTCTTCTACCCCAAACAACGGCAAGCTACTTCTAGCAATTAGATGAAAGCAGCTGAAGATGGACACGACCCACAGCCAATCCCTCTCCTCACCAGGGTCGAATACGGCTGTTCCCCAGCTGATAACCCGCTACAGTAACACTGCTAGTTACAAAACGGAGCACAGGTCTCGGTGACTCCGGGATCCTGTTACCTACAGCTTCACTGAAACCTGTTTTAAAACACTCTCTCAAGGAATGAGGAGAAACAGGAGAGGGATGGGACAGTCTTCTCCCGAGCTGCCACCAAAAACTGTTCTGCCAACTGCAGGAAGGCTGCCGGCAACATCGTAGCCGCAGCCACCCAGCTCTCGGAGGGAAGGGGGGCAGCGGGAGGGACCGCAGCTCCGGCCGCCCGGGGTGCGCTGCCCGCCCGCCCACGCGTGTGCCCCGGGGGAGGCTGCCCAGCGAGGCGGGGGCAGCGCCGGCCGCGGGAGCCCCGTTCTACCCGCGCTGCAGCAGAGACTGCAATTAAAAAAAAAAAAAAAGGAAGAAAAGAGAAATAAATAAATAAATAGCCCGCTAGCGGGAATGGGAAAATAAAAGCCCAGCCTAAACAGGCGGACCCCAAACAACAACAAACACCGGGCGCCTAGGAGAGCAAACTTTCTGACTCACCGGGAAGAGCCGGTGCCCGGGGGGTGCCGGGCAGCGGCGGGGGCGGCGCGGGGCCCCGCGGGAGCACAGCCGGAGCAGGAGCCGGGCGAGGCAAGCGCCGCCGGCGGGGCTGGGGCAGCGCGTCTCGCCCCGCTCCCGTCGTCCTCCCCTCCCTCCTTCCCTCCGTCCCCGTCCCTCCGCAGCGCCGGGAGCCGCCCGGGGCGGGCTGCCGCCGCGGGACCGCCGTACCTACCTACCGCTGCCGGTGCGGGGCCGCGGAGCAGCGGGAGCCGCCGCCGCCGCCCCCCTTCGGCGGCTGCCGGGCCCGGCGGCGCTGCAGCAGGCGGAGGACGCCCCGCGGCGGCGGGGAGCGGGGGGCCGGGGTGCGGAGAGGCGGCGGCTGCCGAGGCACGGGCAGCGCGGTGCTTCTGCCTGTCCGGCAGTGTAAGAGAGCGTGTGTGTGTATGTGTGTGTGCGTGTGCCGGGGAGGGATGCTGCAAGGGACTGAGGGAAAATTCTCCCCTCCAAGCAAAGCCGCCGACAAATGGCAAGGCAGGTGTGCAGGGGAGGCAAGGCTCCCGAAGGAGGAGGAGGAGGAAAGGGGAGAGGGGCGGTGAGAAGGGCGGGGAGCGCACAGCCGTCACGGCGTCCCGGGGACAGCAGCCCCGCCGGGGAGGTGCCGGGCGCGGCCCCTGGGGCGGGCGCTGGGGCCGCACGAAGCGGGGCGAAGCCCCGCCGCAGCCGCGGGGAGCGCTGCCCGCTCCGCCGGAGGGGCGGGGAAGCGGCGGTGGGTGGGCGGCGGGGAGCGGGCCCTGCGGGGGCCGGGGGAGCGCGAGCTGCAGGCACCCCGAGCTGAGCATCCTGCCGCAAGTTTTCCCCGAGGCCTCCCCATCTCAAACGCTCCTTGTGCTGCGCACAGCAGCCTGTGCAGCTTCATGAGCTGCACCCTATCTGACGGGATCGGTGCTTTCTTTGGGAATGCTACCGTGAGGAGTAGTTGCATGTCTCATCTACGCGGCTTCCACCTACCCTTTAGCCTGGCTTTGAACCAGCACTTTTAGGGAACACCCTTAGCTAGAGGGTCTGGTTTTTTGCTTATTCATCTCCCGGGCAGGAGACAACAAAGTGTGGCAAGAGCACCTAACCTCACCTTTTCATCCGGGAAGCCAAGGGGCAGGTGACCGAGGACAGCTCTTCCCAGGACAAGGCTCTGGGCCCCGGGGTGCTGGCAGCAACAAGTGCTTCCCCAGAGCCCAACGCTGCTCCCAGAGAGGCCGCTGAACACCTCGTTTGAGCAGACAGTTAAGGAAGGCTTTTGCAGCTGCACCTCTATTCCCAAGGGCAGTGCTGGCTAATCTGAAGTCTTCCTGCTATTTGGAAGGGGAAAACCTGCTTCTTTCCTGGCCCAAATTACCATGCAGGGCTGCTGTAAGCAGTGCTTTCCTTTATAGAGATGGTTGTGATTTAGTGTCGGAGAAAGCCTTTGTATGCTCATTTACAATGTGTTTCAGCACACTTCTAGGTGACGATTAGTTGGCAAGTGAAAAGTGGCTGTGGCTGAAAGGTGGAAACTAACATCAGGCATTAAATATTGCACACAGCAGCTATGATTTCTAGTGGTAGGAAGAAAATCTGATAGAAAGATCTCCTGCCTGCTATTTTCTACAGTACTTCTTTCACCAAAGCAGTGTGGAATTACATCCACAGGTGCTGGACTAATTATGCATGCTTACCAGCCCATCAGTTTGGGTCTACCAGTGAGCACACTTATGCAACAGAAGCAATTTCCACACCACTGGGCTCATCTGATTTAAACAATACTGGCTTGTGTTGCCTCTGTGTGTAGTTTTTTTTCCCTTGGCTGGCAGGGTTAGTGTCACAGCTTTAGTTTGAGAAGTGACAACAAATAATACTGACACATATTATACCGAGAAACACAAGGACACACATGGAGGACAAAATAAGGAAATTAATGCACTGATTTAGGTAAGGAGCAGGAGCCACTCTTGATCCAGCTGTGCAGATGTGGACTATTACCTGACTGGTTCTTGCTCTGCTTTTTAGTGGTAGATAGCTGAATAAAGAAAAAGTTGCTGGAAGAATTTCTGTTAAATGTAGCCCTGATGAAAGTAAGACGTAATTATAGCTTGGGAATCCTCTTCTAAGTTATTTACAGTAAAACACATCTTTTCAGTCCTTTAAAGCCCAGGCCCTAAGCCTGTTCACCCCTAAGCAAGCACCTTTTGAAAACCACACAGAAATCCCATGGAGAAATTCATGCAGAACTTGTATTTCGCCTGTAGTGTAAACTAGCTTGCAAAATCAAGGACTAGTGAAAAAAAACCTACACAAACTTCAGGGCCTGAATATATTTCTGAACTGTATTTCCTTTGTCTGTGTTAAATTTGCTTCTTCATTTCTTTCTCCTGTCACAGAATGCTATTGCACTTAGAAACACAGGTAACAACAACAAAACAAGGTTTAACTCTTGTCAGTTGCATAAGACTTGGCTGATATGAAACAGAGGTAAAAGAAAATATTTCTGCCAGTGTTGGTCTTGTTTAATGTAATTGAACTAAGCATGAACACACTTGTTAAGGTTATTTCATTATTGTAATTTAGGGTTGTCCCCTCCTTCCTTGCCACAGAACTGCCTGCACAAGTCCAAGCACACAAACATGGATGCACAAATCTGCAGAAGAAGGTGTTACTGTCTTTACTGAATTTCACTAACATGTTCAGCATTTATTTTTTATTTGCAGGTTGGTACAGAGATGAGTTCCAACCAAGACCTCACTTTGTTATGTTCTGAATAGCTCTTGGGAAGCTGCTGGCTTGACCCTGGAGACTTTACAATCTAATTTTTTAATAACTGAAGGATTATTTTTTTTTCATTTAAAAAAGGACTCATTTTAGCTGTCGCATAAGCATGCATTATATCCCAAGACTTCAATCGGCGCTGCACAGACATATCTGAGAGCACAATTAGGCCCTCTGGACCTTTTAAAGCTTCAAAAATAGTCATGTGTAATTCCTTCTTCTGTGGATCCTGCAAGCTTTAAGAGAATTTTTGAAAGCTGTAAATTCCTATTTATCCACTAAGAGGCTCACGGGCAATCTTCCCCTAATGGAAATAGAACTGTAAAGCTGAAACATTAATATACACAATATGATACATTAGGCAGGGAGACTCCTCGGAGCCAACAAGAGGGCACAGCGGCTCTGCCGCGACAAAGACACAGCCAAGCAGGTTCACTCCACTTTCTCTGCTTCCTGCATGTGGGGTTCACTATCTGACTTAATATCATTAGTAGTGCACAGTTCTCTCTTTAAAAATTAAAAAAACAAAAACAAACAATAAAAACCATCTGACCTTTGAATCCCTCATCTGCACTGGCTGACAGCCGGTGCTGGCGAATCGGAGGGCACAGTTTGGTGTAAATGCAAGACAGCTATTCTTCAATAACTGCGCTGTTAATATGCAAATCTCAGCCCTCTGCCAACTGTAATCTCCCGCCTCTGATTGGCTTCAGTGATGAAAAAGATCCAGGTTATTTGTTAGCAGGGAAAATATGCTCTCCAGGTCCCCCCTTAAGATGAACTATAAAGCCTTGAGAACATGCAGGCTGGCGACAAACAACAACAAAGCAAAACAAAGAGAAGCCAAGAAGATGGGATTAGAAACACAGTAAAAGAGAAAACTGTGTTTAAAAATTTTCCTGATTCCTTTTCTTCTTCCTAGCTTTCCCTCGGGAGTTTTGCCAGTGACTGCAGATGGGCCATTTTTGTTAATTTTTTTTCAACCCTTGTTTTCTACATATGATGTCATACTCAAGTTCACAGCAGAAGATTTGAATTTGTTCTGAGAACATGATTTCTGTATTGGAAGGCATGCATGTGTCTGTCTTCCTGAGTCAGCTTTGGTGGCTGGCAAACAGAATACTAGGAGGCAATGTATCAACATGTATTGATAAATATCTTGATACAAAAAATGGAATCGAGCAGTCCATGATTCAACACTTCAAAAGCCATTGCAAAAACCAGCCACCAACATCTGCATCAATATTGGCTAATTCTTCAGAAGGCCAGACTTAGCTAACCTCTGAATTTAGCAGAATGTTTTCTGTAAGACATGAGCTGATGGGAATGCTCATGCCAACTAAACTGTTGAGAAAAACAGTTCATTTTCCATCAGTGTCTGATACAGCATACAAAACTGTGTTCTCCATTACATGGTATAAAAATTAAATAATTCTACCAATTCTGGTAGTGTTAAATTCTGAGGAACCTTTGCAGAGTTGTGTTGGGTTTAGGAGTCTCCAAAGAAGGTGTGCAGCCACTCTGCTCCTCCATCTTTGGCTTTATTTTGTGAATTTTCCTTTATTCTTGCAATTCACCTTTCCTGAAACATAACACGGTGCATTGTATTCACTCCTGCACAGATGCAGCCAGCTCTCCTGCTTCCTGCTCTGAGGTTGGAAATGAGATCAAGTTGGTAAATCAATGTATCTGGGCTGAAACTGTGTTCCCAGTAAAGGCAGGTATTAATTTTGTCATCTATTTTGTCACAACTGTGATTTTGCTTCTCAGGGCTGGCAGCAGAGTGTTTTTGTTTAAAATTGATTTTAATTCCCCAATAAGATGAAGAAGGCCAGGTGCTGTTAGTGTTCAGTGAGTGACTCCTTTCTTTCCTCAGGCTTTTCACCAAGGGGGAGCGAGGTAATTTTTCTGTGGGTGGACAATCCCTCTGACTAAAAAGAAGCAGGGTTCTGAGAAGTACGGTAATCTTGCCTGTTTCCCACAAAGCAGGTAAGGCAGCTTCTTGTACAAATTACTAGACAAAAAGTGAAGAACACGCACCTGTGGGGAGCCTGCAGTGAGAGTGTGATAGGGTTACCTGACTGCAGGTCCTTGAATACCTGGGAAGGATGGAAGGCTGAGCTCAGAGAGGGCTTCACACAGGGCTTTTCATTAACTTGCCACAAAGAGAGATGCTGTAAAAAATAGAGAGCTATGCCACAAAGCAACTTTCCTTTTCTGTCTCACGCATTTCAGATACAAAGATAATGGGAGCAGCAC